CCCCTTCTTATATCATTCTGTGCTTAGAAGTTTTTTTCATAAGAAGTAAATTATTCTCTGAAAAACACTCCTTAAAATCAAGAATTCTGTACCTGACAAGTTTATTTTTCATGTTTTTACAATATGAAGATTAAAATGGTATTTTTGAAGGTGGTAAGTCTCTGTAACTGATTTTTTTTTATATTCTGTGAAAGGAAAATTAAATTTAAGTCAAAATCTTTCCAATCTAAATGGTATGGAAATGTCAATAAGTAAAACTTTTAACTAGAACCCCCGCGCTCCGCCCAGGGGGGCGGGCGGGGCCTCCCGGCCCGACGCGTGTGAATGAAGCGGTGGGGACGGCAGTCGGGTGGGCGCCGCGGCCGGGATGAGCCCGCACCCCTTCCTCTGGGGCACCCCGTCCCCCACCCGCCAGCGCTCGTTGCTGGCTCCTTCGGCTCCGCTCGCGTCCCCGCCCTCGCCCTCTGCCAAACTCGCCTAGCTTTGCCCTGCCTTCCTGGTACTTTAACTTTCCAACCAATGCCCGTCCCGTGCTGACAAAATAGGATTTTTAAAAAGAAGCGCTACCTCCTAGCTCAGTAAAGGTACTGGTTTCCTCGACACCGAGTAAATTCTGATTTAACTTGTGCTTTGTTCTCACGGGAGAAAACGTGCCCATCCGGTTCCCTTGATCCGCTCATCGGGGCCGCCGCAGTGGGCACAAAGTCACCATCACAAATGCCCCCTCCTTCGCACTGCCGTCGCCAAGGGGGGCGGGGCAGAGGAGCCAGGCCAGCCAGCGGGGGCACGCACGGGAGGGGCCCCAAACCCACCGAGGAGGTTACCGCCAAAGAATAGATTTACGTAATCTCGGCCGAAGCGCTGCAGAGCTCAGAGGCCCGAGGCTCGTTTCTGCGTGGGTCTTCGCACGGGCTGAACGACTTCAGGGCTACGTGTCCGGTGGACGTCCCCAATGAGTACCTTCGTTACGAAAATGGCGCCAACGACGCCCCATCCGAAGGGCGTGCGCTCTGGTTTCTGGAGACTGCACCGGATTCACGCCCGTCTCTGCGCGGTTTCGCTGGTTTCGCTCCAGGGAGCGAGGGGATTCCACGAGAAACGCAGGCTGGCACCTCTTACACAGGGAACTGCGAGGCCCAGGTGTAAAGCTCACCCCACGGTTAGCTTATTTCACTGGCTGCCCGCAAAGCCAGACATAAAAAAAGGATATACCATCCTGTGATATTGAGAAATACTGGTTATTGGGAGGGGGGAGGAGAATCTCAGTAATCCTAACCAGACCAATGTAAAACAGTTCAAACAGGACCAATACTAACACTTGAATCTCTGAATTCCAACCCGAGAACCGGCACCTTTAGAGCTGAAAGAAACCCTAAGACTCCTCGTACACTGCCTTGAGAAAAAAACAAACCTCCACAAGTTTTAAAAACCTTGAAAAGATGAATGGTGCAGTGTCCCATAATTCTTGGGGGTCCCTACATTCCATGTTTTCATGGTTGACAACCACCAGTCATGGTTCTAGAGTTCTAAAGAATGAAGTATGTTCACACACATTCGTAGCTGAGTTTTGATAGATATTTATACTCTCCCAATCTTGCTGTTTGTCAATTAAAACATTTAATCCAAATAAATCTCTAATTGAGATTTTACATGTGCAAGACACTGAAAAGTACACAAATTTCTCCACAACGCTCTGTTTAAAAGCTTAAATGAATCCAGTCATGGCAACCTGATTCCTAATGTAATGGGTTAAAATCCTTGTAGCACCTGAACTCAGCTTTTCACTGAAAGTTAGTACGTATTTCATGCATTCGAAAACTTGTATTGAAAGAAGTCAGAGTTCCCATAAACCTTTCATTCAATGGCAGAGAGAGCTGAGAGAGACTGAGTCAGGAAATGGCACGGGTAGAAGAAGTCATAAGTGGACAGAATCGGGCAGGAATCTTAACCACCAAAGAGGAGAAAACGGCTTCCTCGCCTACCTCTCCAACACAAAGGAAGGTGGAGGCAGATAATACGCTTTTCCTTAGCAATGGAAGAGACAAGATATTCAAAGGACTCCCACAATGACTGAAAAGACCCTTGAGTTTGGGGGCGGACAAGAATACAACATGAAGTCTGGGGTACTAGGCTGAAAGAGTGTCACAATATGCATACCGGAAAGAAGGGAGGACACCACAGAGGACCTGCCAATAGCAGGGGACCCACCAGAAAGCCATCCCTTGGGGGGAAGCCCTCCATTAGGCAATATGAGGACTAGTGTTACATCTCCCACCACCACCCCACCCCATACACACCTTTTAGACTAGCTAAGGGCCCTTTGTACTTCTTTTCCAAAGAATCACTTTCTGTTTAAACCTTTTTGCTGACTCTTGTCTGAATTTTAAAACAAT